TTTTTTTTAAATTCATTATAATTTTTTAAAAAAATCTGCATATTAAAAACTGAAAAAGAAAAAAATTAACAAATCTGAAAAAAAACACAAAAAAAGTCAATAAAATAAAAAAAAACAAAAAAAGGTAAATAAATTTTTTAAAATTTCATTATAATTTTTTTAAAAATATAAATTTTATAAACTGAAAAACAAAATAAATAACAAATCTGAAAAAAAAAATAATAATATTTATTTCATTATTTATTTAATTAATAATTATTTCATTATTTATTTTAAAAAACTGAAAATTTTAAAATAAAATACAAAAATAAGAAAATTAGAAATCTAAAAAAAGAAAATCAAAAATAAAAAAAAATAAAAAAAAATGAAAAAAATAAATAATAATAATAAGTAAGCCTGTTGAGAAATCGGTTTCTTAACAACCGATTTCTCATACAGGTTCCTTTCATTTTGTAAGAAGCGAGGGTGAGAAATTGGTTCCCCCAACCGATTTCTCACCTTAAATAGGCTTTCATTTTGTAAGAAGCGAGGGTGAGAAATTGGTTCTCCCAACCAATTTCTCACCTTAAATAGTAAGTGGGTCATTTTGATAAATAAAATGGGAGTGAAGTTATTTAGAGAAATAAAAAAAAAAATATTAAAAAAAAGTCTTGATTTGATTCAGATACCAAGTCATTAGTTAAATTAATGTTATTAATCGAATTGTATGACTTAAAATATTAGAAAGAATGTAAATAATTCATAAACAGTAATTTAAAAGAAAAACATAATTTCTTTTTGAAAACTTTACCTTAAAAAATCTCAAAATTAATTTACAAAAAAGGAATGTGAATATTATGGGCCATGTAGTATGAGTTGCAGTAGTGTAGTACTGCTGTTGTTGGGCTTGCTCCCACTGATTGTTGGCAGATGATAAACACACCTCCACTCTCGTATAAACACAGTGTAGACACCCAATTTCATCTAGGGGCATACAAACAAGGAAATGGACTTCCATTATCGAAGGAAAGAAGCTCCTGAAGCATGGAAGTGACAGGACATGACATCTAAAAGCCTAAAGCCCAAATAAATTGGTTTTAGTAGTCCAGAACGGGCTGTTCCAAAACTGGAACGGGCCGTTCCAAGTCCCTAAAAAAGGCTAAAAATCTAAGTCTGGAACAGGCCGTTCCAAGTTTCAAAAATGGCCTAAAAGATTCGTTTGGAACGGCCCGTTCCAGCATAGGCATTTATGTGTTAAACTCAACTCTGGAACGGGTCGTTCTGGTTTCAGAACGAGGCGTTCCAGGA